TATATATGTGTGTTTCTACAATAATAACTATTTAAAACAGATCTAATTTTTGACTAAATTTTTACATTTGTGGTTCTTAAATTCCAAGGAAAATGGTTTATGGAAAATATTGATCCTATATCTATAAGGAGCTCTGGTAGCGTAGTGGTTACGAATTGGGCTGCTAATCTCACCACCAGCTGTTCTGCGGGAGAAAGTTGAGGCTTTCTGCTCCGGTAAAGATTTATAGCCCTGGAAACCCTATGCAGGGTTGCTGTGAGTCAGAACCAACTGCATGGCACTTAACAACAATATTATATATGTGATTACTACAATGAAATATCCTACTTTTTGTACTTGAAACATACTAAAATGCCATCCGATGGGGTTAATATTTTATATTATTGTAATAGATGACAGATTTAGAGCTAGCTTCTAGTTACATACAAATTAGTGTAAGAGGATTGAATGCAAATACTATTTCACTACAATAAATGAGAAGAAAATTCCTATCAGTGGTCAAATGGGCGGAAAGAATCAACAAGATAAAGCTTCAGTAGATCAGAGATAGAGCCTTCCTTCCTTCCTCAGAGAATCTGGCACCCCCTCTGGGAATCTAAACTACTGATTGAAGTTGGATCAGATGCTACCCAAGGGCACCTAATGAGGTGGCTTATGGTCTCATGTAGTGCTTGACTACCATGAAGAACACAAAACCTTTTCTGCTCAGATTCAACCTGTTCCACAGAATATATGAGGGAGTTTCAAAAAGTTTCTGGAAAAATAGCATAAAAAGATACAGAAAATTTTCCAGAAACTTTTTGAAGCCCCCTCATACACTGAGAAGTTCTAGTACGAGCCCTGTACCCCTTTCAGACACAGACAAAAATCATCAACACATTTCTGCCTGGGAAAGACAGGAAAGCTGCTCAGTGACGGCCGAAGCTCTGCATGGTAATTAGTAGTGAGTGTTAAATCATAGTACAGGTGATTACGAGCTATGGTGTAGAAATTCAGAAGAGGAAGTGATGACTGTGGACAAATGAGGAAGGACTTCACAATTTCCTAACACATATATTTCCTTTTTTAAAATGATACCTTCTTGTGTTTTTGGTGTTATTTTACACAGCAGTTTGGTTTCACTCATTATTCAACGATTTCTACAAAAATTGCTCCGTGACATAGGTTGCATCCTTCAAAATGTGTGACAATTCTCTGATTGTTCCTTTAAGACTGTTAGGGCAAAATAAGATATTTTGAGCCATTTTACTCTGGTAGCGTAGTGGTTACGAATCGGGCTGCGAACCTTAAGGTCAGCGGTTCGAAACTACCAGCCGCTCCGCGGGAGAAAGATGAGGCTTTCTACTCCCGTAAGGATTTACACCCTCGGAAACCCTGTACAGGGTCGCTATGGGTCGGAACCGACTCGACGGCACTTAACAACAACAACATCAGACTGTCACTAAAAGAGACATTAAAAGATAAACTTTGAAAATATGAACTTGGCCCTAAATGGAAGGAAAGAAGCATTGTTGTGAAAATTAATTTGTAATTTGGAAACACAAGGGTAAGTATCTATACATTGATCATATAAGACAAAAATAATAATGAGTGATTTTCAGGATATAAAAGATTGAAATAAAATCCTAGATATTAACACCATGCAAATATTAAACCACTGTAAGACATCTGCACTGTTCAGAGACGGGTTAACTTTAGATCTTGCTAGATAAATACGCAAGTTTAAATTTAAGAATGGTCCCTAAAGAAATTAATAAAACAACTTCCAGATTATTGAAGAGAAAAAATTTAAATAGAATATAGCCAATAAATTGAATAAATGGTAGATTTTAAAAAAAGTATTTGTGATCCCAAATATAAACAGACCAAATTTATCAGTTTATAAAGGTTTATTCCTTGCCTTGATACATGCTTTTCACAAGGCTCAAAAGAAAAGTAACAGCAACAAAAAGGTTGAAAATAAAGAGATAGGTGGAATACAAAGATACCCTAGACAAATGCATAAAAAAGAAAAATCATGGTATGAATTTTAGATAAAACTGTACTTATAAAATATAAAATTTCAATTGTATTTCAAATTTTATAGTTCATCTTAGAAATTTTATTTTTTCTTCCCTTTCTAAATACTTGGGAAAAACAATACAAATACACATATTAATGCCATATACTGTACTTCTCAATCACTAAGAAGAGCATCTTAACTGGTTATTCATATTCTGTTCTCCAAATGGCTCTTTCTCTGAAGGCCAACACATTGATACAGAATTCATCTATGTTGCCAACAACTGGACATTGCATGTTCAAAGATAAAACACCCACCTCTGGCCTTGATGTACTCCAAAGGCCACACACTGTCATCACTTTCAGGATATAATGAAAACTGTGACTCCTTATCTAAGCTCTTACTTCTCTAACCACTAAATGCCAAGCTACATCAGTTCAGAAAATTATCTTCTCCCATACTCTGTCTCAAAGCAAAATTTCTCTTTAACACCCTGTGAATGGCATGATCAGCTCTCATCTAAGCTCCTCTTAACCCACAGAACAAATAATCTCTTGACCTACACTTGTCTTAGGTTTTGTTGAAGTCCCTGCTATCAATGCTTTCTGAAAGCCATCAATTACAATGATCCTATTGAATGAGAGATTCTATGGCTATGAGGTGCTCAGCTGGTTACTGACTATGTAGCTCTGTCCATCCATAGTGCCAACACACTGCAAAAGGCACAATTCTTTACTCTCCATTCCCAGTTTACAGTTCATAATTCTTAGCCCCTGAATAATAGAAAGTAGCAGAAGGAAACCACATCAATTTCAAACTGGTGGGAAAGAAAATGTTGCTATTCTTTAAAATTACAAACAAATACCAAAACAAATAAAAAGGTAAAAAGACTGAATCCAAGTCTCTAAGTAGCCTAGGTTGTGAAAAATAAAAATAAAAAAACACAAAAATCTAAAATAGCTATTCCTATCTCACAAGGTAGAAAATGTAATACAACTGGGACACAAAAGGGTTCTCTTAAATTTCCCTCAACATACATCAATATGCATGAGATAGAAAAGAGTCCCCATGAGTTCCTTATATACTACATTCCAAATATGACAGCATGACCTAAACATCACAGCTTAGAAAAAACATGTGTAGGGCCTTACTTCTGAAGATTTAAAAATATATTTTAAGGAGAAAATATTTAATTCCAGAATAATCTCATTAAATCTGGTAGGCTTTAGCCCACTCCCACAGATCAAGAGGAGCAAAAGGCTATTCAAGATGATATAAAATGGCATTTTAACCTGAATCATAGTTCTTACACTCTGATACAATACTATATAGGAAAACTACCTAGCTTTTTCTTAAAGAGACAGAAAGCAAATAGCTTAGGCTTGTGGACCACACAGTGTCTTTCACAACCACTAAGCTCTGTTGTAGTATACAACAGCAGTCACAGATAATACCAACATAAGGTGACATGGCTGTGTTTCAATAAAACTGTAATTATAAACAGCAGCAGCCAGTCCTCAAAGCAGTTCATTTTCTGACTCTTGACAAATGGGGCCACTTTCAGGCTCAGGCCTCTTGATGTGTGTGGATCAAAAGAAAAGGATAACAAGACAGAAGTAAAACCACACATAAGGCCTTTGACTTTGATAAAGGATTTAATTACCAACCTAAAAATATAGGATTTTCACACAATGGTTGTTCAATTTTTTTGCACAGAGACATCACATGAAAATAGTTGTGCAACTTAGGACTGAAAGTGAAATCATAAAAGTATTAACTAAATGTTTAATTCCCTACTGTTTAGAAGCCACAGTGTTCTTCTTAAAGTTCTCTGGGAACATAATCTCAAAGTTCATATTTAAGATAACTTACCCATATCTTGCCAGAGATGCTAAAAAGACCAGCCATTCCAGACATTCTAAAAATAAATAAATTAGTTAATAAAGAGATACACTATTAAAAATAAACCAAAATTCTAGTTACAAAGATGGTCCTTTTACTGACTCCTCCACTTCTTGCTCTGTAATTCCTTTTTCCCTTGGACTCATTTCTGTTCTTAAGCTTACTCATCTTTTGCATCACTCCATTGCAAATTCAAATTCCTGTGGCCCCTTCTCCTTCCACTGTGCATGCTTAACTAAATCCCCAACCTTGAGCAGCTGAGTGTCCCTGGGAGGGGTGAAGGGAATCACATGACCAGCTGGCTAGTCTCTTCACAGACTTCTTTGTTGTTCAGTGCTATCAAGTTTGTTCCAACTCACGGTGACCCTGCATAGCAGAGGCGGGAAACCTTTTTTCTGCAAACATTTATAACATTATTTGCAGGCCATACAAAATAATCACTTTAAAATTAGCCTGCTGTATTTGGCCAAACCTTTAATGAACACACCCCTGATCTGACACTGTGGGTTAATGTACTGAACTGCAAGGTCAGTCTGAACTGCAAAGTCAGCAGTTCAAGCTCACCAGCTGCTCCTCGGAAACCCTATACAGGATTGCTATGAGTTGGAACTGACTCAACAGCACTAACGACAATGTGATGGAACTGAGGCTGCCTAGGAAGGGGTCATAACAAATTATTTCATGGGCCTGGTAGCATAGTGGCAATCGGGCTGCTAACCTCAAGGTCGGCAGTTAGAAACTACCAGCTGCTCTGCAGGAGAAAGATGAGGCTTTCTGTTCCAGTAAAGATTTATAGCCTTGGAAACCCTGTGCAGGGTCTCTATAAGTTGGAACCAACTCCAGAGTACTTAACAACAACATACAGCCAGAGGACCACACAATCCCTGCCCATGATGCACAGGGGTTCCAAGGAGCAGCTGGTGGCTTTGAACCATGGGCCTTGTGGTTCACAGCCCAGTGTTTACCCCACATCACCACACCAGGAGTTCTGTAGGCGCACTCAATATTACCCAGTCCAACTGCATTTCTTTAGGCTCTGAGATGATTGCAAGTTTTCTTATTTCTATCCCATCCTCCCCTCTCTGTGCAATGTCATCTATGAAACACTCCTCATATATCACTGAGTCATCATGTGATCTCTTATGTCCTCACGCTAAATCTGAACCTGACATCCACCTGCATCCATCTTCTCTAGTTACGACTGACAGAGAAAACCTACCTGCCCTCCACTGTCAAGTTAATTCCAACTCATAGTAACACCAAAAGGCAGAGCAGAGCTATCCCAAAGGTTTCCAAGTAGATCACCAGGTCTTTTCTCCCAAGGAACACCTGGTGGGTATGAACCTCTGACCTTTCAGTTAGCAGCTGAACACTTAACCACTGTGCTGTCTGGGCTAGCTGGCACACCAGAGGCCAATTTCTTGCATCATGGATCTCATCTCTTTGGTCTTGTCAATGGCTCTTTCAGTGACTTCCTCTTCTTACATTAGCAATTTCTTCCTTGCTAGCACACAAACATGCTCTACTCTTTTCCACCTTTTAAAAATAGCATCCTGGCCTCCCATGGTCTTCTAGATTTATAGGCACACTTTTCCAAAATGTGCTATTTCCTGTCATCATACAAATATATTTTTAAACTTGTTTAAATCTAGTTTCCATCCTGATTACTATACTAACACTACTTGTCAAGGCCATGATGCCTTCCTATTGCTTCACTCAATGTCTATGTCTTAGACTGATCCTTCTTCACTTCTTGGTAATATGGGACACACGCTACTATTACCACCTTCTTAAGCATCCTTTACTTGTTTCTAGGAAACCATACTTCCCTTTCCTCCTGCCTCACTGGTACTCATGTTCCATTTCTTTTTGCTGTCTCTTACTCTACCTAACCTCTTCATGTTGCTATCACTCAGGGCTCAGTCCAAGCACTTGTCTTTATTTCCTTCTTTTAGGTGACCTCATCTCTTTTTAAGGCTTTGAACACTGTCAATATGCTGACTTCCAGATTTGTATCTGTGTTCCTGAATTCTCTCTGTGGAGATGTAGACCTAGCTCATGTACCCTCTTGATAGTGCTACAAAATCTTTATCTTAAACTGGTCCAACACAGTGACTTTCTTTCACTTAAATAATTAAATCCACCAAGTGTTTTTCAGCTTGGTCAAGTCTACCTTAAAATATAATTCATATGAATCCATTCTCTCCATCCCTACTGCAGTCACACTGATCCCTCAGCTTTAACTATTAAGACATCCTTCTAATTGGTCTCACCTCATCCATTTTTGCTCCCTCCAGCCTCTTCTGAGTCATTTTCTTATTAAATGTACTGACAAAATCCAAGTTCCTCACCCTGGACACAAGTCCTTGAGTGGTCCAGCTCTGTCCTGCCTCTCATACTCAGTCTTTGCTATACTACTTTTCTGTTCCTCAAGTACACCAAGCTTTTTTTATTTTTTTTCTAAATTGGAGCCTATGAACATGCTATATCCTTTCCTGAGAATACATTTCCTCCTGTTCTCAACCTGGCTCTTACCTCCTGTATACTTAGTCATCATGATCAAAAATTACTTCCAGCAGTATTCTGCTAGGAAGCCAAAGATACCACAGATTTTACTTTCCACACAGATAACAACAGCAATTTCTTTATGAACTATCATTTTAAAAAGAGTTAATCCTCCATCTTAAAAATAACTTAAAAAGAATAGTAAATAGTATTCAATATTTTTTTCAAGAGAAAACAATCAGCATGGATTATGTAAAAGCAAACAAAGCAGCTTTCTCTAACCCAACCAAATCTGGTTATTTAATTTCTAGTATAGTAATAACTAACTGGGAGTCCTGGTGTGGCGCTGTGGGCTAATGCGTCAGACTGTAAAGTTATCTGTTCTCCAAGGTCAGTGGTTTAAGCTCACCAGCTGCTCCTTGGAAACCCTCTACAGGGTCGCTATGGGTCAGAATTGACTCGATCGCACTTAACAACAACAACAATAACTAACTGAGGGAGCACAGTGGCTCTGCGGGATGGGCACTGAACTGAAATCCACAGAGTTGACAGCTCGAACCTACCAGATACTCCGTGCAAGAAAAATAAGGCTTTCTGCTCCTGTAAAGACTTAGAGCCTCAGAAACTCTATGAGCTGGAACCAACTCAAGAGCACTTAACAATAATAACTAACTGAAACATATTTGGGCCATAAAATTAAAATTACCACATGGGACAAGAATGGTCACATGTGATCTGGGGAATTGGAAGAGAATACGCAGGAAAATGTTGGCCGTCAAGGCTCCATGGCTGTTAACATACTACTTTCTGTTTTATTAACATCTTTTTACTGAAAAATAGCAAGTTACGCTAGAGAAGCCGGGGATTTCCAGCCAGTTAGAGGTTCAACTGATTGCCATTTCTTCTCGACGATATAATTCTGCAGGTCTTCGAAGATTCCTGGGCCCCGGTAACGGCGGAAAATTCCATCCTTTGCACTATAAATTATAAAAACAAACAACTAAGAAACCCATTAAAATGATAGGTACTACAAATAACAAAGCCAAACTATTGTTTGACAAGTGAATTCCACTCTGAGTTTTTAATGGATAAAATGAAATATACATATACATAGGTATATTTAGACATAAATCAGAAAGCATGCATAAATCATAATCTGTTATGAGGAATTTCAAAATTGAAAACATAAAACGTCTTTTTTTTTTTTTTTATCACTGCACACTTTGTGATGATAAGCAAAGTCCTTGGCAATTTGTATCTGTCAAGTTACATTTTATTATTTTTGCTATTATCTAAACTTTTACAAAGCAAAATAACAATTGTTATCAAGTTAAAAATAACAGTAAACACATTTCCAAAACTACGCTATTCAAGTTCCTCCCCTCAAAATCAGCAAATCAGCTCTTTACTCTCACATTTCCCTTCAGCTTTCCCTTCCTCTCACTTTCTTACAACAGATGAACTTTCTTGGGGAAGAATCTACATCTGCTATTTTCTCCTCTGGACTACTCGTTCAATGTTTGGTATGAATGTGGGCTCTGCTATCATGACTTCATGAGATTGCTCATATTGAGGATCCTCAAGCAGCAAGTTTCTGCTCATTTTACTTCACCAGTGCTTGGCACTGTCCACTAGTGAATACCATAGCCTTGCCTTCCTCCTTTCCCGTGGATATTTTTCACAGGACCAGCTGGACTTCTCCCTCCTACTCTAACATCCCTTCTCAGTTTCCTTGTCTTCCTTTTCAGATAAACTAGTGTTGCTCAATCACAGGTGCTATTACTGACCTGCTTCTCTTCCCCGTATACCTTTACTCTCTTGATGTATTTCAACTGCAATGTAGCTAAAGGCTGATGATTCCCACATGCATCTCCAGTTGAGTTCTTTCTTCTGAGTTCTAGATCCTGACCACTTGAATCTCTCCCTTTGGAACTAGTGCTCCCTTAAAGCACTTCACATTTAGGATCTTTTCCCAAATTTTGTCTTATTCTAATGGTTCTTTATCTTGAGGTGTGACCATATCTTTCATTGGCCATGGGTGGCCTAACCAAAGCCATCATGGAGTCTTCCTTCCCTATTGTTAACTAGCCAACAAGTCCCAGTGAGCCTACCTTCTCAATACCTCTGGAATCCATCCATTCTTTTCTCTTTATATGGTCACTGGACTGAGCCTCTCCAGCCTCAATCCCTAGTATGACCCAACTGCACCCTTATTGACCAACCCTATAAAATGAGTTACAGGTTTCAGAAGGTGTTGCATTTTCTCCTGGGCCTTTACAGTTTGTCTCCTCTGTCTGGAAAGGCCTTCTCCACCTTATCTGCACAATTAACACTCCTAGTCTATTAAGAATTGTCCCACCCTTGTTATCATCAGACTTCTCTGACTGCCATCCCCATCTTGTTGCTGCCTGAATACGTCCTCAGGATCACTCTAGGCACACCTCTCTGCTGACAGTTATCACCACATGCAGATTAGTCCTTCAGCCCTCAAGTGTTAAACTCAATGATTAGTGGGTATGGAAAACAACTAAAATTCCTAATCCAAACGAACTGTTTTCTAATCTTTGTCAAATCAGAAGATTACTTCAACTTACTGAAAAAACGCTGGGAGTGTGGTAACAAAGAAGCGGCCACTCAAACCTACAAGAAGCAAAAAGGTGAAATAGTTAAAGTCAAACTCAGTATAACTCAAGCACTAATTTAACTTCCAAGAGCAAGTAGCCTGGAGCTTGCCTTCGTATTTTTTTTTTAATTGATATAATGTTTGAATCACATTCATTTATTTATTTTTTTTTAACTTATATTTGATTTTTCTATTTCTATTTACCTGGCACTTAAAAGTCACTGACATGCAATTTGCTTATCTTCCATGTGTGACCGTGGTTGGGAAGATGGGTTTGGAGTCATATAACATGGAATGAGGGTAAATACTAGCTTCTCCATTTAATAGCTTTGTTGTTGTTGTTAAGTGCCGTCAAGTCGGTTCCGACCCATAATGGCTCTTATATGGGGTTTCCAAGGAGCAGCTGGTGAGCTTGAACCACCAACCTTGCAGTTCAAATGGCTTTGTAGTCTGGCACATTAAACCCACAGCACCTAGGATTTAAAATAAATGATTGAAGCTTTCTGAGCCTCAGTAACCTCAACTCTAACATAGGGCTTTAAAGCCTATTCATAGGGTGATTTTGAGGCTGGATTAGGTCAAGGGTGCAAAAAGCTTAGGGCAGTATGTGACACAATGTGAAAAATTCAGTAAGTTATAGGTATTAATTATTGTAACAGTTAGAAGTTCAAAAAGAACAATAAAGAGGCTGAAATAATAAGATCAGGTATAATCTTTGCACATGTAAAATTTGCAAGTACCGTTAAGAGAATATTTACAAGCACTTATAGATAAATGAATAATCAGAAGGGAAAGTGCATTTAATTGTATGCTAGAAAACAGTATCTCCAGATGTAAGCACACTTGGCTGTGCTCAAGTTTCTTTCAAGCAGTTTCTGTCTTGCTTACTATACACAGGGACTCCTGAAGCACCTGGATTTGGGTCAAACTCCAGGTCTGCATCTTACTAGTTTTCATCTAAGACAGTCAAATGATTTTATATTTATAAAGCATACAGAGGACAGTATTTCCTTGAAGATCCAACACTATAGAAATTCAGCAAGATGTGTAACTTCTAAAAAGACTGCAAGAAGAAAGACAGCTCTGGTTATTATTTTAAATCAGTGCTTTTGAGTTGACTCTGAGTCCTAACAACTCTCCAGGGCTGAGGAGCACAGCACCTCTGGGCTTCTGAGACTGTGTATCTTTACAGAAGCAGATAGCCCCATCTTTCTTCCAGGGAGCAGCTAATGGGTTTGAAATGTTGCCTGATCCATAACCCACTGCACCACGACGCTCCTTGGGTTCTTATCTCAGTCCTCCAAAATGTGCTCTAACCTTTTATACTCATGCTCTAAAGTGTCAAGGGAAACGTTCACTACCTGAAAACAAAACATGACTGCCTACCACAGAGAAGTGCTGCCCTATCTGAGGTTCTTAGGTTGTGGCTTTGGTATAAAGATAAATTAGATGTGTATCAAAACAAACAGTAACAGCACCACAGGAACACATACCAAAATTTGATTAACTGTTCCGTTCACTCCAAGGAACTTCATAATGTGTGAAAGAAATGAGTGTATGCTAAACTTTAAATAAACCACAGTCCCAAAATTTCTATACATCTTTTGTACTTCAAGGGTACCTTCCCTTTATAATGACTGTATTGCAAATAAAAAGGCCATAAATCTAGAATGCTGACACCTTTTTAACACCTTCACAGTAAACCTACTTTAAATCTATACAAGAAAAGAGTTAAAAGGTTAGAGAAGATAAATTATGATATGAAATTATATCTATATGTACAGAAATTAAAGAAATGAAGGCTCAACATTAAGAAAATCGAGATAGCGAATAGCATTTGTTCTACTGCTTAATTAGCTGTGTAGCACTGGTATGTAAACTAACCTCTCTGAGTCTCGGTTTTTATGAGTAATTTGGAAATGAACAGTTTGTTCTTCACAGAGTTTTTGTGAAGCTCAAATACATGTAAGTTCTTAGCAGGATGACAGGCTGAAATAAATGCTCACACTGGGTTATTAGCTACTATCACATAAGAGAGTAGCAGAAGGAAAATGCAAGACAAAGTAGAACGGATTCTACCTTTGAGATTATTAGAGTTGTCAACATATAGAAAACAAAAGGAATCCATTTTACAGTTATAAAATTCCAAACAAACCACCAAAGTGCAGCAAATTAAATTGGCTTCTGTAATAAATTGAGGGTTTTAAACACAACGTGGTTATTCCGGTACCTGGTTTGGGGCTGAGTTTCCCTGTAATCATTCCCAGGTGCTTTAAGAGTACCTGCTGTTTTCCTTCCTTAACAACTAAACTCATCTGCCCAGAACACAAGGCGCAAGCATGAACTCAGCAAAGTTAATGTCCCTGAGTCAGCTCAACTGAAACTTCAACAAATTTATGCAGTAGAAGGTTTCCTGCTCCCGCCAAGATTTATAGCCTCAGAAACACTATACAGGGTCACTGTGAGTCAGAACTGACTCCACGGCACTTAACAACAACAAGAAGCAGGCAATATAACATTAACAATAAGACTATAGTTAATATAGTCTACAGGACTGTCCTTTCTTTAACTTTTAAATCTCAGCTGTAAAATTGCAATGTGTTTATTCCTGCTCTTATCATCTCAAAATCTTATTTTCTGTTTAAAACACCTAAAAGAATCTCTTACGAGATAAACCATTGAAACAATAAAGCTGTAACGAAAAAGTATGTGTGAACATTACAAAATTCTTGTTTTCTCCTCGACCTAAATTTTACTTCCTAAGAAAAATCACCTCTCTAGGTACTCTTGTGCAAATGCAGCTATAATAAATTAAATACTGTAATGGTATTTGTTCACCAAATAGAAATTTGTATATGGAAATACCCAGTAAAATTTTCTAATGTGGAGAAAAAATAATATAATTTCAATGGTTTTCCACTGCATATTCAGCATTGTATACTTAGTAAAATGAAGTAAACATTTACTCTCTTTACAAGAAGAGGGTCCCAGAGGCTTGCCAGAGTGTTCCCATCATCCAACACACCCTTTCTTCATTTGGTTTCCTCCTACATCTCCATCTGCCTCTTCCTTCACTGGTTCTCCTTGTCTTCTGCTGGAACTTCTTCTTTAGCGTGCCCAAGGCCTCAGGGCTCAGAACACTTCTCTAACACTCATTTGGTAGGTAATCTGCTTCACTTGGTTTCAAATATAATCTATACTGATGATCATCAAATTTATATGTCAATTCTAGTGCAGCACTAGACTGCTAACCGCAAGATCAGCAGTTCAAACCCACCAGTTGCTCCTTGGAAACTCTATACAGGGTTGCTATGAGTTAGAACCAACATGACAACAACAACAGCAATAGCTCATCGCTAAGGAACCCTGGTACATTAGTTAGTGGGTTATGCATTGTGCTGCTAACAGCAGTTCGAATCCACCATACACTCTGCAGGAGAAACATGAGGCTTTCTACTTCTAGAAGGACTTATAGCTTCAGTACCCCTATCCAGGATCGCTGTAAGTCGGAACCAATTCAAAGGCACACAGCAGCAACAGCAACTCGTGGTTGTTTGGGAGCACAGTGGCTCTGCAGGATAACGCACTGGATTGCTAACCACAAGGTTGGAGGTTCCAGTGAGTTGGAACCAAACTGGCAGCACTTAACAACAGACATCATTATGTGGCTGTCTCTTAAAATCCTGAACTCAGGCCCTGCCCCAAATTTGCTCCTTCCTCTGTTTTCTCCATGTCTTCTCTTTCTGCCACATTCTATTACCAGTCCATCAGGACACCCAAGCCAAGCGCAGAACTGTGAACACTGCAGCTACTACTAGCACCCTAGTCTAAGCCACCCTCCCCTAAGCACTGGATGAACCGCCCACCTGCTCTGCGGCCTCCACTTCTGACCCTCTGCAGCCAGCTTTCCACACAGTAGCGAAAGGGCCTCTTTTAAAACTTAGACTAGATAATTTCACTGCCTTGTTAAAAAACTTTCCAGTAGCTTCTTTCCTATCATGGTGGTGGTGGTGGTGGTTCCCTGGATGGGATTTTGAAGCTGTAAATCTTACGGGAGCAGAAAGCCTCATCTTTCTCCTGTGGAGTGACAAGTGGATTCAAGCTCCTGACCTTGTGGTTAGTAGGCCAACATGTAACACACTATATCAACAGGGATCATTTCCTATTGTTGTTGTGGTTGTGGTTGTTAAGTATCATTGAGTTAATTCCGAGTCATAGTGATGCTGTATAGGGGTTCCAAGGCATAAATCTTTGTGGGAGCACAAAGCCTCATCTTTCTCCCAAGGAGTGGCTGATGGTCTCCCATAGCTAACCTGGTGGTTAGCAGTCCAGTGAGCATCCTACAGAGCCAGAGCATTCCTCTATTTTAGTTGAAGAAACACACATTAAATCTAAATCCTATTAAAAGATTAATTGAATGCATAAAGTTTATAATTTAAAGCAACTTAAATAGTATAATTAATAGTATAATATGAAGTGAAATACTCTCTAGGTTCCTCAACTAATAACACGCGTAGAATTTTGTTTCCCATTTTGATTTATAAATTGCAGTTCTTACATTTTTATCATTTAAAAGAATTCTAGAGCCCTTGCCCTTTAAATAAGCCCTTGTCCTAATATATAAAACAATCATACCTACTCTTTTGGATTTTGGTTTTTCATTATTCTTATAGAATTTGAGACAGCAGAAATTATTCTCCTTCTTCTTTGATGTATATTTCAAGAATATATAGTTTATATTACATTTTTTAAAATCCATCAATACTGATTTTATGGTTAATATATTTCTTTAAATTCAATTTCTCATACTTCATTATCAAAAGCACTTAATCCAGTCACAATAGAAAAATAGTTGTAAGCACATTTTCAATGGTGAGACGATATTTAAATATATTTTAGATTTGTGAATCCATCATAACACTAACCGTTTAACTTTTTTAATTCAAAGCTTGCTGTGAATTCATAGCAGGTATGGTGGTGGTGGTTGTGTGCTGTGGAGTTGGTTCCAACGCATAGCAACCCTGCATAGGGTTTCCGAGGCTGCACATCTTTACGGGAGTAGAAAGCCTCATCTTTCACCCATGGAACAGCTGGTAGTTTCAAACTGCTGACCTTGAGGTTAGCAGCCCAACTCGTAACCACTGAACTACCAGAGCTCCTTATGACAGGGATAGGAAACTCAAATGACTGAAATGTGAATAGGCCACTGCATTTCTAAGAAACACACCCTAGAATGTGTCCAGGGCTCTCTCATTGACAAAGCTCACTCCTGATTTCAGACTACTAAAACATTAAGTATTTAGCCAAAATTGAATTGCAATGACTTGATCAGAAACAGAATAGCTCATTATGACAGCCAAAAAACCATGAACTTCTAACTAGAATGTGTCTGTCTTTAAATAGCAGAAGGGCAGAGGCAGCTTTGCTGCAAAGCTTTAAAAGGTGAAGGCTAAGGTCATGGCTTTTAATAAAAATATTCCTCCATGAGTTTTCAGACACATGGACTTTAACAAGCACCATTTATTTTGTAGCCCACCAACTTAGTAACCCATTACTTTGCGTTTACTGAATTAACAGTTGTTAAATAAAAGTGAATAGCTACCCTTTCGTGCCTAACTTCTTTTTTCCCTAGTACAGAGATGCAATAGGTAGAAACTGTTGTAGGGGGCAAGAAAAGACAGACAATCTACAGAATAAAAATAAGGTCTTCACAACATTAAAAAGTAACCAAATTTTAGAGATTTGTGTCATCATAGCTAGTTTTTTTTCTTAATTTATATGTAATATGTAAAATTATCTTTAAACTATAAATACAAATTTACTATGCTTATCTTTCACTTTTAGGGATACACATAATATGTATTAGAGTTTAAATTCTGAGCATTTGGTTAACAGGAGGATACAGTTTACAGTGGGAACCCTAAACACATTTTGAATCTGGACATAAATTCAATCTCCACTGAGTTCTTTCTGACCACAAACCAGCAACGCTTTGCTGTCTGGAAGAGTGCATTTGCAGTGGATTACTCTGACTCCTGTAGCCATCCCACAGCCTTCGGTAGGGGTTGCACCTCACTGTAAAAATAAAAACCTTTACAACTGAACCAATAAATAATATCATGATAAATGATAAAAGATTGAAGTTGTCAAAGACTTCATTTTGCTTTGATCCACCAGCAACGCTCATGGTAGTAGCAGTCAAGAAATCAAACAACCTATTGCACTAGGTAAATCTGCTGCTAAAGATTTCTTTAAAGTGTTTAAGAGCAAAGATATCAATCAGTCTGAGGACTAAGGTATGCCTGACCCAAGCTATGTATGGTATTTTGGTATTTTCTCTGGTAGTGTAGTATTTACGAGTTGGGCAGCTAACCTCAAGGTCAGCAGTTCAAAACTACTAGCTGTTATATGGGAAAAAGATGAGGCTTTCTGCTCCTGTAAAGATTTACAGCCTCAGAAACCCCATACAGGTTGCTATGAGTCAGAACCAACTCCATAGTACAAAAGCAACCAACCAACCAACCATTTGCATGTAAAAGTTGGATAATGAATAAGGAAAACTGTAGAAGAATTGGTGCATTTGAGTTATGGTGTTGGAGAAGAATATTTGAAGTAATATGGACTGCCAGAAGAATAAACAAATCTGTGTTGGAAGAAGTATCTCCAGAGTGCTCCTTAGAAGTGTGGATGGTGAGACTTTGTTTCTCATACTTCCCACATGTTATCAAGAGGGGTCAGTCCCTGAAGAATGACAGCACACTTGATAAAGTGAAGAGTCAGTGACAAAGAGGAAGACCCCACTGAAATACACTGGCACCGTGGAAGCAGCAAAGAACTCAGGCACAACAACTGTACGAATGGTGTACGACCTAGCAGTGGTTCCTTCTGTTGTGGGGTCACTATGACTTGGACTCTAACAATAATAACAAGTCAGCCCACGAAGTGCAGTCTGGCCTCCTAATTGATCTGGTTGTGTCCTTAATGGAAATTGGGGTACCAGGGACCAATGGCCACGGGTCATATCCTGACCAAGGTAATTGGAGAGCCCGGTGACTAATCATGGTCTCTTTCCCACTTCTGTAGTTCTGCCTGACTCTGAGGAGTTGATCTGCCACCAACTATGATTTTGTCACAGATTTCTCTGTTTTCCATCTTCTATAAATCCTCTGGGCAGCATTAGAGTCTCATGCTTATGGTCTCCCTCATCTAAATGATTTGTCTTTGTCCTGTTTAAGACTTAATGAAGGAGACACTATAAAATATATTTGAAGCCCTGATTTGGTACTATAAGATAAACACTGGACTGCTAGTCACAAGATCAGTGGTTCAAACCCACCAGCAGCTCCTTAGAAACCCTGTAAGTTGGATTCAACTGAATAGCACTTAACAACAGCAGCACAGACTATATTTGAATTTGAAGTCTTTTTTCCCCACAATATTTATCCCTTTCTCTTGCTCACACACACATACATACGTATACACAAAAACATTCAGTACTCACAGCCAATACATGTAGAAAGAATGGTAAACATTAGAAACTCACCTACTGGAATTCACAATGAAATGTGTGATTCAGGCAACATCATTATGGATTCTAAAAGCCCAATGTATCACTCAATATATTATTTATTAATTACAAATTGGGGATGTTTGTTAAAAATTCACATGTTTAGTAATATTACTTTAACGTCACAGCAACACTAAGGAAGTATTCTTACCATATATGTCTAACTTGAATCTAGTCATGCTTCTAGACCAAATTTTACCTTACAGAAAACAAAAAAGTAAGTTAGATATCACCACAAGGAACTACTTGGGCAAATCCTGGCCAGTTCTCTTCAAAATGTCAATAGAATGAAAAAAATGGGGGCGGGGGGGGGTACTACTGTAGTTTAAGAGCGACTAACTGTGCAAAATGTGCATCTTAACTGTGTTGTGGTTCAAAACACTTCATAAAAAATCTTGGGGGATACCTCACAACAACAACAAAAATACACAAGTTCATTGCCATCAAGTTGATTAACCTTCAACCGTGTGTTACAGAGTTGAAATGCTCACTAAGGTTTTCTTAGTGGATTACAAGCTGGGCTGTTAACCACAAGATAAGCAGTTCAAATCTTCCAGCCATCCTTGGGAGATGGATGAGGCTTTCTGCTCCTGTAAAGATTTACTGCCTTGGAAACCCTATACAGAGTCCCTATGAGTCAAAACCAACTCTACGGCACACCAACCAATCCAGATTGCCAGGCCATTCTTCTGTGGTACTTCTGGATGGGTTCAAACTGCCAATGTTTAGGTTAGCAGTAAACTGTGTGCATTACCCAGTGATGGGCATATAAGAAGAGTGCAATATGCTGAAATGCTGAAAGGTAAAGTGTCATTATGTCTGCAATCTACTTTCCAATGGCTCAGCAAAAAGGAAAAAACAAGTAAATGACAAAAATACAAATGTAAATATATACACAGATACTAGACAGACCCAGAGATGCCAAAATGTTATTGGTTGAACCAAAGAGGTAAAATTCACAGGTAAATCAATATCCAATTCTTTCAACTTATCTATCTGCTTGAATATTTTCAAAATGAAAAATTAAGTTTTGACATTAACTTTTCAACAATTACACTACCTGGTTCTTGAATGACATCTATCTTCCCCACACTGATTTGAAGTATTTCGCCATTCTTGGCAAAAGTCTCCCATTCTGAATCGGTCTGCTGGCAGGATGGACACCAAGGGGCGTAGCTACAAGAGACGAATAGCCAATCAATATAATAAGCACACGGGAAACCACTCTGGATAGCATAACAGAATATTTGCCTTTTTAAAAAGTTTTTAAGGAAAGTATAAAATCAATGTTTTCAAAAGTCATGATACAAAATACAAAAATCCTTTTTATGCCTAGGATTTAATGCATGAATAGTAATTCCCCAGAAAAAAAGTAGTCAAAATTTGAGAAGACTTTTATAAACTATTTCACAAAATACTCTATTTCAATTTGTTACCTGGAGGACTAATTACACTTCCCCCCTCAAAAGAGTACTCTTGCCTTCTGCTGATTAAGAGGTAAGACAGAATTTCCACACTAGCAAATTTTGTAAATTTCCAGATAGCTTTTGATTCTTGAAGTAAACACTGTTTAGAAAGCCCCAGTAAAGGAAGGCAATTTCATTTTCACAAGGGTGTCCCCAAACTAGCCAAACCAGTTTCAGATGCATCAAAACTATATATGTATGTATGTGTGTGTGTATATATATATATATATATATATATATAAAACAGTAAAGACCAAACAATTTGTTAATAGTTGATTCCCAAGAACATGAGTCATTTCCAAAGATATGTGACAATTCCAAATTGATCCAAGAAGCAAAGTAGACACTCTACATCAACTCTAACAGACAAGTTATTACAGTTGTTGTTGTTGTTGTTAAGTGCTATGGAGTCAGTTCTGACTCATAATGACCCTGTATAGGGTTTCCAAGGAGCAGCTGGTGGGTTTAAACTGCAACCTTACAGTTCGTAGTCTAGTGCTTTTCCTACAGCACTACAGAAGAAGATCATGAAATACCTGGGCCTTCAAGCCTGGAGTCTGCATTTTACATTTATTTTTCACTCAGTAAATTTTAACTGAGCGCCATGCTACAGCCAAGATGGACTTGATGCCTTCTCTCCTGTGGATTGTAAAATGCCTCCTCTTCTGTGGACTGTAAAACCCAGAGACGAATATAGATGAAAGCACAGTGGTAACTACAAGCATGTGTAGAGAGTACAGGTCAAGAAGAAGTACAAGTTACGAAGGGGCCACAGAGGAGAAATAAACATCTGTGTTAAGAGCTGAAGGAGGGGTAAGAAGCAGAGAGGGTCAATAATATTCTAATCTAACCAGAGAGAATAGTCTGTGGAAGGCTCAGAGTTCAGAGAGGAAGGTAAAGGCATCATTTAAGCCTTTAAAAAAAGTGGTATAGGAATTTAAGACTTTATTCACAACTCTACAGAGTTATGAGGATTGTGCTAAATTAATATTTTAGAAAGATTACTGAGTTGTGTATAAAATGGAACAGAAAAGGGCAAAATGAAATAAAGAGAAAAAATGGAAAATGTGGCAGTCATCCTGGCCACGTTTTATTAGTGTCACTTTGTACTCCATGGTTCTAGAAAACACCACAAATACTGAGACCAGAAAGCTCTGAACAGGTCCAGGATTCCATCTGCAGACAAGGGAATGGCACCCAGAGAAGCCTGCTCCTTGGAAAAGAAGATGGTATCACTCAAAATTAGAAGGAATTATGATGCAGGAGTCCTGATGTGCTGCTGGAGGATAAACACTCGACCATAAGGTCGGTTTAAACCACAAGGTCAGTGATTCAAACTCACCAGCTGCTCCTCGGAAACTCTATACAGGGTCACTATGAGTCAGAACTGACTTGATGGTACTTAACAACAGCAATGATGAAACGAGCTAAATGAATGCTTAACGAGCTGTTAGGGCTAAAGTTAATATGAAATATTGCAGGCAAATAATAACATGCTGGAAATCCATTTAAAGTATTATCATATACTACAGCTAAAAGAAAAAAATTACATTTACAGAAAAATGTGACAAAAATTTGGTAGAAGTGGAGAAATCTATTCCTTTACTTAATAACACCCAGAAGAAAAAAGCAGTTAAGCAAAATAATCACAGTTTACAAAACAGTGTGACTATTTATTTCCAGGTTGTTGTGTGCCGTGGAGTCGGTTCCGACTCATAGTGACCCTGTACAGGGTTTCCGAGGCTGTAAATTTTTCCGGGAGCAGAAAGCCTCATCTTTCTCCTGCGGAACAGCTGGTAGTTTTGAACTGCTGACCTTGCGGTTCACAG